TTTGCTTCCATTCTTTTACTTACACTTTGATTGTAACTTCGCGCGAATTCGGTTACGTTCTGTAACCAAGCTTCTATCCTGGCACGATCTCGGTATCCTTTCGATACCACGAGATCGCCAGCAAATATTAATTGCCTTCTGATATTTGGCTTCTCGGGGATTTTATGGATTTATTTGGTTACGTTCAACCCTCGCCTTCTGATCTACTTGGCACGTGTTTCTTTGTAGCGGTGTTCATAGTCAACCGCAACTCGACGCCACGCTACAATAGTATAACGACCTGACTTCAAATGTTTATTCATACCCAGAAAACAACTTATCTTATTCAAGATTGGTTCAGTTATGTCCCACTACTATGTTCTATATATTTTAATAAGTCGACTATAAAGATAAAAAATTTCGGGAATCCAAAATGCTTAAATAATGTCGCTTGTCAACTACGCAGTTTTTATTTTCCCTGACTCTACACTACGTACCATACAGTAAAAACGGTTGCTAACTACATTTACTAAGTACATAGGAATCGAGACGAATATTCTTAAAAAATTAGATCAAATTCAGTCTACAAGAATCCAGTTAAAAAGACAAACGTTCCTAACAGACACTCACTAAACGACAACAAGGACTGTACCATGCTGTAACCTTGAGTCTCGTCAAGATAGAGCATGTTGTCAGTGATCCGGCATCATACAATATCGAAGCAAAATGATAAAGGTTAATCTTAACTAAATTCAAATAATAAAGATTTAACCAAAAAAGATCAAGTATAAAATTAAGGCTACAGAAGTCCTGGACAAAAATTAACATGCAAAAAGAAAGATTTTACTCTGCAAAAAACAGCAGAGTGGGCATCTGACTAAATACACCATGGGTACACCTGTAACCTAAATCTCAGCACTACCTCGGAATCTATGGTATCTGACTTTATGGAATACAGTAACTTCAAACGTAAATGCTACATTGATCTACTTATCAGATCAGCAAGGTTAGGGTTAGACGAACAGATAAGGGTTATCAATAAGTAATTTATCCTTTAATACCACCAAAGTTTTAAGTCTTAAAATATATAGTAATATATGCTGTTAGTCTTAAATTCATCAACCATCTCGTTGAGAATTCCATTCAGACGGTATTCTGTGTCGTCAAGGCCGTGCCACTTAGGAATTCACCTCACTCAAAATCAACTGTCAGCTACACTCTTTCTTTTAAACTGTTAAGCTAATTCTCTCACAATCAAGATCACATCGGAGCCATTGTACAGCAAGGAATATTTATCTTCAGTTATTTATAGATCACGTCTAGTCGCAAGAATTGATCAACTATGAATATTCCCATCCTTTAACTTCCCAAGTAAGCAAATTGCCTTACTTGGAACTGTACCAGCCCTATATTTCAGTAATATGCGATAGGTGTAGTTGTGGCCTTACCCTGAATTTCTGTTGACCTATCCTTTGCTATACAACTAATCAAGCGAATACGTCACATTTATCCTAATACTTAATTGAGTCACATAAGATATAACTACACTTTTACCAAAGGATTTCTCGAATTAATCGTATAGGTCCGTACTCAGAAAAAGTACACATTGATTGTTGGAGTAAATTGCTCTGCCTCAGAGAATCTGTTCAAGGACCAACCTAAATCACAATCGGCCAAGATTGTACTGTCTAAGGTCCTCACTCCAATCACTTTATCCTCGGCAGAAATGCTGATACTCATCAAGCTTTTCTGTAGGCATATAGGTAGACATCTTTAATACTGATTTAGAAACTGACCTATGGTCCATGTTCAGAGACGTTGGAGATTTCATTTATGTTATTTAAATATCAAGAGCAGATATTTATATCCTTCGAGTAGTGCATTATCTGACGGTAATTGCGTTTCACAACTTCACACACTGTAAGAGTTCATACATGACCTTCCGTACCCCTAGGTCAACAGTTTTCTTGCTTCAGTATTACCGTTAGAGTTCTATGAAAACTTACTACAGTTAATGACGACTGCTGCTATACACCAACATATATGCTACTTGATAATAAACAAGCGGTAAAACACCAGAAACAATATAACTTTTTATGGGTATCATTACCAAGGTTTGATTTGATAGTTTCTAATAAATTGAGCATTGGGTAGATTGTTATAAATAAATAATATATTTGTAATATCCCAATGAGTGGAAAAATCAGATTTTTTGACGTTTCGTGACTTAGTGTAAGCCACTTCTTCAGAGACTAGATAACCAAATTAGAATTAATCCAAGTTTAAATAGTACAACGGAACAATCACTCAAGTTTATACAAACCGATCTCCATAGTATCTAAAACTTGATGCTTGCAATTGACTTGTATACATCATCAGCCAGCGTGTATGAACATAAATAATTGGTTTATTGCATATCAGAACATTAAGTCTAGATCAATTCTCTCGCGGATGCACTCACTTTCGAATAACTATTGTCAGATATCTGTCCGAAATTCACATAATTATCACTTATTACGTAATGGAAGGATTTTTAAGGACCATTCATAGGTATTAATGGTTTTATTAAATCCTATCACAGTTCAGTGATATTGTTGTCGAGAAAATCGTTGTCGATGCTATCAACGGTGGTTGCATGACATTGGATAATATTCATTGTAATTCTTCCTTCTTTGTTTTAAATGATGCTTTGATGATCTTGGATCCGTGAGATTCCCATCCTATAAATGCATTTAATACTTCTTTGGATAGCGTCAGAGGAACTTCTTTAGTGTGTGGAGCATTTTATTCTTTGTGACAGGGGTACAGCAGCATTTCTCCCGAACAAAACTTTGCTGTCCAGTTTGGGTCCAATAGGTTCCCCTGGTTCCGACAACCGTCAGGATGTATCTGCTCATTTTCATGGCTATTTGGTTGGTATTACCGGTCTCCTGCATTATCCGAACATTCCATGTACCTATATTTATTGTCGGTCTGGATGCTGGAATGGACATCGGTTTCCCCACGAATCTCGGCTTTCCTCAAGAGGCGTCATAATTTTTCCTTCAACTTCCGGGGCAGGGTTTAACTTGTTTATTCTGGTAAGCGTTATTTTTAGAAAGGTTGTTTTCCACGAGATGGGGATGCTAACTTCATGCCAAACCCTCCTCCTTTATTTGGGCTTGGGACTAACAGTAGCCCCAAAAGGTACAGGCGGAATTCGAGTGGACTGGCCTTCATTTAACCAAACATCTGCCAATGGAATGGATATGGCAGTTCTATTGATATCTACTGCAAATTTCGCGCGTTCTCTAATTGTTCCGGGTCCCTTATCATTATGACCAAGGACAATATGTATCGATAGCTAGAATGTTTCACTCTGGTTTATTTTTTAACCAGTAACTGGTAACATCGTATTCTTTCATCGATTTCTTTCACTTATCACCTTTGTTTGTCCTTTGACTTAGAAGTCTGAAGGGGTTTATCATGAGTATTGCTTGATCCCGTCATTGCAAGACAGATTCAAAATCTATATTGAAACTCCCGAAGAAACAGATCACTGGTAAATTCTAACTTTGTGTTTTATATTTAATCAGAGTAAATAACCCAGTGATTCTATGAAATACCATTGATGAAAACTTAACCCATATATTGTACCAGTAATTGAAGTTCTTAAATTGGGCTACAGATAGCAAAAACTGCTTTATACTGTTGAGTCGGCTTTCGAAGAATTTCAACGGAGCCTCCAGAGGCCCTAAAGGAGCCGAAGAGTCCTAGCCAATCAGAGCATGACGGAGCATTCTAGAATTCCAACGTGGCGTGCTGCTATTGGTCAGTAGCATAATATGTCGTTAACGGATTGGCCGAAATATGATGTTGACTTACCAAACGTTAACATCTATAAACACCCATGTTTTCTGTACAAAAACAAACCTTGAAGTAAAGTATTTCTGTCATACTTTGCGTCTTCTCTCTGGTGTTCAGGTCTCTGTGTAGTTCTAGCTTGCGGGTTACCAGAATAGCTTAGGAAACGAATATAGCGTTCAATCGACGAGACTTGTCATATACAGAATCAGATTACATGCCCACATAAATTGCATAATAGCTCAAATCTATCTAACACAATGTTACCTTTATGAAACCTAACAACAAATCATCCCAAAACCTCATGAATATATACCCTCATTTACCAAAAAAATTATGTGTATAATGTTACTAATCAATGTCTAAGGTGGTTGTTCGAACTTAATTACTCTTCACTGACAGAACAAAGAAACAAATAAGAAAACTTAGTAAAATGAAGAACTTTCATTTCTAAGAATGAAACAAATGAGATTTCTGGTTAATGATCAAAATTACAAAGAAAACACAAAAAATAGATGTAATTATGGTATAGTGAGGAAGTGTATTAAACATTGAATGAAAATGATATTGTGATGTATATCTTTAAAAGCTGAATCTTGGCAAAATGAAATCATAAAAAAACCAAGTTAATAATGAAAATTACTCCCTTACATTCAAATATGTAGTATTCATATAACATAACTTATATAACATATTTTGATGATACAATAACTAAGATCAATTCCATCATTATGCATTTTCATACACAGAAACTACTTATAAATGAAATAAGTAATAAAAGATTATACAAGAATATTTTGACGATGATAGTATCAATAAGAATCATAAAACGTCAAATTCTACAGATATATATATATATATATATATATATATATATATATATATATATATATATATATATATATAGCACATATCCAAATCTTTATAAATGATGATCTTATCAACCATGTGGTTGAGTGAGAGGAATATACACAATTTTAGTATACATTACTTGAGTAATAAGAAAACAAACAGAGTATGCGTATGAGTATGCACTATGATCGATGTGATGAACAGTATACCTGGTGTGACAAAATCAAAGCTATTTATTTATCTGTTTATCTATTACAAAGTAACTTTATCATCATTCTGTTCTGATAATAGTATGTGTGCATGAAGATTTTCAAATTATAACTCAGTTATTCGCTACGTGACCCGTGAGCACGGAGATTATTACTGTTTGGATGGTTGATATTATGAAGACGACTTGATGACATGGCCAAATTTAATTTTGGACCTTTTAAAAAGACGAACAGAAAAAGGAATACAAGAAAATTAAAAACGATAAAACTTATGAAGACTACAGCTATCACAAGAAAAAAACACAATTGTATAATAAATATGAGGTAAGATAATCAAAAGTTCTTGGTATTAACCGATGAAACTCAGTATTCTTCGGAAATGTGGTGTTTTCACAGCTAAATGACTTGATTGGGGGACTTTAATTGTTACTCTAGACAAATAATATCAAAGAGTACTTCACATTGTAAGGACAATGAAATCTGTAAAATTAGACTATCCAGCTCAAAAAAAACACAATACCATCAAAAGTTGATGGCAAATCTTCGCCATACTATGAAATTCAATATCGACAGAATAAGTTGTTAGTATCGTTTGTAAAACTAATGTTGTTTAGAAAGATCATAAAATTTTCATAACCTAGGCCATCAAGGTCAGAGAATGCAACTTCACCAAAAACATATGGTTGTTTAATTGATATAACTATATCATCAACCTCAATTAGAACTGATCATCTAATTAAGTGGTACAGTTTACATTAGATAATAACAATGTATTATGAATAGAATACTAGCAATTTATATAATCACCCCCATTCAATAGTTGTAAGTTATTTTGATGTGATGCATTAAATTTGTTTAATATTTAATAAAAATGAGGATTAAAATCGATCGTTTAATAATCAATTAACTACATTATAACATAGTGTACTAGATGTCGAGGTATTCAGAGAATCAATAACCACACAATGTAAACACAATCGGATGCGCACTGCTGAGGAGTCCTATACTAGGACAAAACGACCGTCCAGTGCTTCTAGGATTTCCATGGTGGTCTAGCTTTAATTGACTTACGGATTCAACTATAATCTCCACAAAACCCCTTTCTGATAACAATGAGAAAAGTCCGATTATCATTATAAACCATAGATAAATATGATATCATTATTAATCTTTGATCACCTAGTTTAAAATTGTAAATAGAGTGAATGAAAAATTCTAATGGTCAAAAGATATGAGTAAACTAGTTAGGACAACATTATTGTTTTCAATTGAATTTTCATTACGCTTCACTGCAATACACAGAAATATTTATATACATATTTGAAAAATATGAAAAAAAAACCCAATCTAAGGTCATTGATAACAACGACAAAGGATCATGTGCTTATATATAATAATCAGTATGGGGTTTTGAAGATTGTTGAGTTTTATTAAAATCACGAATCGATCTAAGTTGAATAACCCTTGAAAACATGAAAACACTGAATGGAACTCAGCATAGAACATTTACGACTCTGTGCCTGAGAATCAAACCTAGGATCTTCGGTTTCATGCACGAACACTTAACCTCTAGAAGACAAAGACGACGCGCTCGACACGGTTGAACGCCTACTATATGTAAAAAATAAGAATGAGATTCATTAAGGAGATTTGAAAAGTATTTGGTAAATCACTGATGTAAATGCTTTGATTCAGTGTTAACATAACTATTCCTGATCAAATGTGATAGAACAGTGATAGAGATGTGGACTGATTTTGTTTGACAATTCCTAAACAAAAAAAGTGGTGATTTCGCATATACCAACGAACTATTTACATGTTTTTCTTATTAAGTTTGTTTGTTTATACTTTGTTTTAGGCTTTAACTTACTTCCTGTATCATATTATCTGTCGATGCTATTCTGTTGTTTATCAATCTTAAATTGACTACTTGCTTACTACTACGCGTTATAGTATTTCCATTTTTTGATCATATGAAATAGTAACAAAATAAATCCTCAAAAACACTAGAATTACGCATCAACTGATATAATCGATTTTTTCTTTTAAAAAGCTAAGCGTTCGCGCGCGAGACTGACAGGTCCTGGGTTCGAACCTCGCAGGGCGGGATCGTGGACGCGCACTGGAGTCCCATATTAGGATGAAACAGCTGTCTATTGCTTTCAGGTTTTTCATGGTGGTCTAGCTTCAGTTGATTTATAAATTCAATTATTAAATTACAAAAAATAAACACTTACCTAAATAACTAAGATACACAGGTAATATAATAAGTCCTGTGAATGCTCCAAACAATATCATAGATAAATACATGCGAAAATAGAAAATTTGAAATAGACGTGATTTCGAAGCAGCTAAAACAACAATACCTCCAAGTTTAGTCAATGTGATACCACGAAGGATCTAAATGATACAATAATAACAGATAAAAATTCACAATGCCAAAAAACCGTTGCGTTAATAAGTTAAATATACAAGAATATATTGAGCTTTCTTAACGTTCTTAAAAATGAAAGACTGTGAATGATCAATTTCAATGGATATATGTGTATCTTGAATGGATTGCACTGATAAGTATACAATTAAACTTAACTGAAATTTGTCATGAACTAATAAGCTAGACAACTAGTGAAAACGTAGAAGCACCATACGATCATTTCGCCTTACAAAAGGACTCCTCAGTGGTGCTCATTTACGCTCTCGCAGCAGGGAATCAAATCAAGAACCTTCGGTTTCGTGAGAAGACCATAAACGTCTAGATCACGGGTCTGACATTCAAAAGTGTACAAGCCTGACTCTAATCAATCCATGATATTACGCGATCATTTTCCATTGTCTTCGGTGGATAATTTCCTCACGTCCAAAATGTTCAAACTCTACTAATCACTGTTTCTCACTAGAACATCGGAAACTTCCTCTCGAAACAAGTCACTAGTGAACATATGATAATTATCAGTAAGTGGTTGTGGACATTGTTGAGTTCATTGAAATTATGAGCTAATCTAATTAACACAACTACTAAAAGTCTGAAAGCATAGAACGGCTGTTTCGTCATAGTATGATACTCCTCAGTTGTGGACATCCACGTCCCTGAAGCGGGGTTAAACGATGGGTCTCCTGTATTTTTTATATTGTCTTAATAGTATTGCTTTATTAGATGCATCAACTGTCTTCGTAACTTTTACCTGCTACACATTACAGTAAACTAATTATAAGTCTGCCACATAACTTTGTGCTAAACAAATGTCTCATTTATGAACATGTTGAGATTTATTACTTATAGCATGCTGTATTATTTTATTTCATGTTCGTAATCCTGTGAATTTTTAAGTCAACATAATTCAAGGAACATAGCTTGGCTTCCTTGGTTTTCTTATTGGTAGATAGCCAAACTAATTATGACTGACTATTGATTGAGATTTGAGCCTAGTCTAAAACATCTTTAGCGCTTTTGTGATGCTAATATGGCTGTGAAAAAATAGACCTACAACGCGGCGGTAGGAGGAATTTTGCTCTATGCTTGTGAGATCTGGTCTCTACAGGTTGAGAATGTAAGACGACTATCTGTGCTTGATCATAGTTGTCTCCGAAGAATTGTTGACATTCAGTAGCAACACCATGTTAATAATATCGAGAGAGGTTCGACATAGTGTGTTCGGGCACAAAGACGATAATTCAATTGGTGTCTCTATCTTGAAGCATTGATTCGGTGGCTTGGAAATGTCCAACGAATGTCATCCCAGAGATTTCCACATCGTGCATCAATTCCGGACGCTGGGATAGGCTGAGAAAAGCGGAGAGGTGGTCACTATATAACGTGCTGTCGAAGTATGAGAGAAAACTGTACAGGACTGGTTTCTGTTGATCTTCATGACTCCCTGGTTTGGGTCCTACAGACAGTGCAAATCATTGGTTTGGGACGTGATTAGATATGGCTAAGAATGGGAGCTAGTGGTGGTCCTGCTATAACTTCTACAGCTGAAAGAATTGATTCTGATTGCATTTCTCCCAACCGAACTGCTTCTCTCATTATTACTATTTTTTACTCTTATACACTAATCACTATCAATATGTTTTGTTTCTTTATCATTATACTCATCAGTCTTTTTCCATCTCTTTACAATCTCACTTTTATTTTGTGAAGCATATATATTTTGGTGCCAATTTGTACCAAAATTTATATGTTTAAATATATAAAATAAAATACATGATTCTTACCTAACTACTACAAAAAAGCGCTTATTCTTTGATTGTAACTTATATATTGTTGTATCCCGATCAGTCAGTCAGTCAGTAACAACGTATCCCGATAAGAATAATGAATGGTAACTTTTGGGATCCATTTATGGACTAATATTATGGGCATGTTTTTATCGTATAATTGTTATGTAACTAAACTGTTCATATTCATGCCCCTCTTATTATGAGAATTATTTTGACCTATGAACTATTATTATGCGATTTACCATTCATGAATTATTCCCTATCTATTAATCGCTACCTCCCTCATTCACAGCCACATCTGGCTAATTATTGTACAAATGTTATTTTCTATTTTATTGGTAAGTTGTGGTCGGGTTGATTGGTATATAAACAGAGCATGTTTGAAATATAACGATTCATATCTCAGAGGCCGAGACTGGCGTTCTGGACTCAACTGGCTGGGCTAGACAAGGAAGCGGGACCAATCAGAACTCTAAACAGTTCTTACGTGTTTAGGCCTCTTTGGTCCGATCGATAATTCGCTGCTCTCTAATCTGCAGCCCACAAGACACAACATTCATATTTCATAGTTACCTTACGAATGGAAGTTTTCGAAATGTATACCAGCATTATTAATAGCACCTTCTTATATACGAATCATTTCATTATTCTGATTTCGAACTTTACACATAACTCATACGTTTATTTCGATTGGATTTAACAACAGTAGAAGTCAATGATGAAAATAAAAAAAACAATATCATTAAAAACACATACATAAATGATGATGTTCACAACTTACGGAACTACCCATTTCACTAAGAGATTCTTTAGCTCGTTCCACTCGAGTTGGTAATACACTGATTGTAAATGAACGAACTATATGTGCACAAAACTCAACAGATATACCTAAAGCCTAAAATATTGAAAAAAAGAAGAAAATTTACATACTTAACATAAGAGTACATATATTTAAAACAAAATATGATGTTAAACTATTCGTATATTTTCTAATACTTTAGATATACTCATAAATCCATCCACCAGTTAGTCAGCTACAAGGTAGGACCGGTCCAAGTTGCCATACCTCATTAGCAAAACATGATGAACACCAGATTCATAGAAGTAGTTAATTCAGTGGTGGCAATATATAAAAGAAAGATTGCCTATAAGGATATAGTACAGGAAGAAAGAATTAGTTAGTAGAAAGAAAGATATGAAGTGATTTTAATCTCATAGTTTAAGGGAAGATAGAGAATCTATACACCTACGCCATTATGATCGATTCTGAGCCATGTCACCCAGCGTCTCCGACAATTAGTTACGATAGTCACGCGGGCCTCAACCAAGTAGTCTGCATCTACCAACATGGCCCGGACTAGAAGTTAGTGACTTCAAGCACTGATGCCATGTTTTGGTTTGACCGACCCTAACTTTCTTCAACCATCCACTACACTAGTCAGTATTGTGCGTCGTAATAATCAGTGTTGAGGCATACGCAACATGTGGCCCAACCATCTAAGTCGATGAAGATTCACAACCTTATCAACTGATTTATCATCATTCCCTAATATCCTACGTCTAACTTGACTATTACTTACCCGGTGATCACAGCAGATGCGAGCAATATCTCTAAGACATCTGTGGTCAAATACTAGTAGCTTACGAATATCTTCTACTTTTATTAGCCACATTTTGCAGCACTCAAATACATCAATATTTAAAAAGAACAGCAATAAGCATGTCGTAAAGATGTTTTTGGATAGTATACTACTCTCTCTCTCTTTCTTAGGCAACTGAATACTCATTTTTAATAAACAAAACCCGATTATCAAAGTAAATAATAGTTAACAATTACGATAGATTATCAACATCACTTAACTTATTAACGTTTCACTTTGTCAAATGAAGTGAGAGAAAACAAACAAACAAACAAAACTTTCTTCCCTTCAATGGTTTAAAAAAAGAAACTTGAAAATAATCTCTATACAAAAGTAGAATGAAAGTATATTTCACAACAATTTTGTTTATCTTTAGAGAAATTATCGATTAGAATTAATAGATATCAAATTATATGTAAATATTTGATAGGAGTTGATTCCAAGGGACAATTAATCAATGATTTCACATAAAATTGGTGTTCAACAAACATGATTAAAGTTCAAGGGTGAAGATATGCCGTCAGGTATTCTGGAATCTGATGGCAGCAAAATATTTCCTTCAAATAACAAACATCTGAGGTGATATAGCATACTAACAATGGAAACAAGAGATTAGTAAAGTTCGATCCTAAAAATAGAACATCTCACCTTACTACATGGATTTTCATCGTTGGAATTAAGACTTCAAAGGTATGAAGATAACATATTTAAAACTATTCACAAAAAAAACAGTGTGTAATTGACTTCAAGCAGTTATCTTTTGGAGTTTGCAGTCACACTCCCAAGTCGTCAAAACTACCCTCTAACCTTAGTTTCCTTTTCGCATACCTCACGAAGAAATACCCTTCAATAGTGTGGCCATTTAGGAAGTTAGAACCATATATATAACACCACTCGAGATCACCTTTCTCCCTATATAGTGATCAATGTCATATTATATCTATCAAATACCTATAATCCTCTAAAATTAAAACGTAATTCAAGGGATGAGGAGTCACTCTCAAAACAAAAAAAGTTTTCTTTTTCAGAAAATCAATTCTACTACTCAATCACGTGTGACTGTATCGTTTTTTATGTAAGATTAGTCTACAAAACAGTTAGGCAATGCTATCCGACAAGATTATTGTTTATGGATAAACTAATCAAATATAAAATAATGCCCCTTAGATTATTACGCAAAATTTACTTATCCATTTGAGTAAATAATATTAATTTGACACTATAGTTGATGTTACTTCATGATAAGAACTCTATCTTCTAACAACCAAATCCTAATTCCTTACATTAATTTGTTACTTACTTACTCACTCACGCCTGTTACTCCCAATGGAGCATAGGTCGTTGACCAGCATTCTTCAACTCGTTAAAAAACAAGCGCTAACCAGAAAAAAAATTATTCAAACACTAATTTGTAACCCTATTTGAATCCTAGCAATGGATTGAAGTTTCTCATAATCACTTTCGTATCATTCAAAGGTTATCCCTAAACATTTATAGTCTTAATCATTTAGATAAACTAGACAGTTAGTGGGTTACATGAAACTATACGATATATGTAGCTTGAATGCTTAAAAAAAAGTATCCAACTTGTAACATAATACGCTAACCATTGATTGTTTTTTATTTTATTTATAAAACAGTCCGAAATGTTTTTGCTCAGTCATAGACAATCAATTAGAATATGAACGGTTTTATTGCATAGTATAAGTGGTCTTGAACAATGTGAATGGTTTCACTAGTTAAAACACTAATGTAAATTGTTTACATTCAATGAGTGAATCAGTCATGTTTGTTAAATTTTATATTCATGTATTTAATTCAAATGACAAATATCACATTCTATAGACAATATGGAATGATATTTATGTATCTCTATGCAATTGTGTGAATATTAACTTCTAATTATTTGTTATTTATTACTAATGAAACAATTAATATCATGAATTTAGTCAGTTTGTATTCATTTGACGGAGAACGTAGCACAGACTGCAGAAACGAAGAATGTGGCACGGCTAGTAAGAACCACTACCGCAAGAACGACTGCTTTAAAGGGGGACGAATGTGGTGTGTGCTACTTATATTGACATAAGTAGTATATGTTAGTCGTGAACAGAAGGTCTGGCAACAGAGAGACAAGAGGATCGAACAGTACAGAATGGAAACAGGATGCAATTTATATGAAAATGCAAGAACAATGAAGTCTGAGTCATTTTGAGACAATTGGTGGACATTTTGCAAATTAAGCATTTACTTTATGATCGTTAGATTTGATTAACAAGTCCTGTAGTTTTGTGCCGAATACATTCGATTGTCCCCATCCGTGTTCTGTTCACTAAAATATTACTGTACCGGATCCCGACCGAAGCTGCTACCTTCACGCGGTGGTCGGACTTGCCTACCGGGATGACCCGACCGAGCTATATTGGTTGGAACATATGTTCCTGTAGGTTCTACCATGCCAGGCAGGTCGATTGGAGAACGGTAAGACTAAAAGCAGCAACTCAAAGTCTGAGGGCGTAGTCGTACTGCTGACTGTAGAGGGGTGTGACAGCAGTAAGGTGTTTCCCTCAGACAACCAGCATCTGCAGCGATGCTGCCTTCCCACAAGGAGGGGTGGGGTTAGATAAGGTCGACCCTAAAAATGTCACACCTCACCTTACCTCACGGATTTCCGTCTCCGGCGGTAAGGCCCTTTGAAGAACGGAGCTAACACATTAAAAACCTTACACGAAAAAGCCGTGCGCGACCGGCCTCAAGCAGTTGTCTCTTGGGCTCTGCGGTAACGCTCCCAGGTCGTTAAGACCAACGCTAATCCAATTTCCTTTTCAGGTTCCTCAAGAAATACCCTTGCACGGTGTGGGCAGCCGGGAAGTGATATCAGCCCTCATACCCGTAACAGCACACGACTGACTGACTGTACTGGATTTAGTTAAATCTTTGCAAGTTAAAATAATTCATGTATAATTTGAAAACGCTTGTATTTTCTATTTTTAATTGTTAAGGACTAGAATTAATCAATTTGTTTCGGTATGTGTATACACTGAGCAGATTATCTTGATAATCCCATAAGTCTTAGAAAAGCTAGATAGTGACTAACAATGTAATTCATGATGCCTGTTCTGTACTATTCAAAACTCGTCAGATGGATGTGTTTACCTCAATGCTAACGTTCATACGATGAAACTGAGAACCCATTACTTTTTTCTTTCAACGTATAACGGTTTGTTCACTGAGCTACTACATCTAGGTACTTAATAGCTTGTGAAATCAAGTGTGGATTTGCTCTGTATGGGTTTATATCTTCCATCTGACCAGTCCCTAATAGAACGAAACGCACACTCAAGGTTCAATGCTAGCCACTAACCAACTGTACCAATTTCAACAATATGCTAGAGGTCAGAATCAGACTGCTTTTTTCAGTTAAAATGTCAAATGACTTTGTAATAATTCATCGAATTCACAGCAAATAAGGTGAGTGGCATCCATGCAAAATCTGTAAAAAGAAAAGTTTAAAAAATCACGATGTTCACCTACGCACACCCGTGAATGAGCACTGGATAACACATTTTTTGATGAAATCTATGTCTATTTAGGTCGATCGATTAAACTGAATAAAGGTGAACAAGAACGACGACTGATTGCATTCTACCAATTAAGCTGTAATGTAGCCACTGGTCTCAGTGACCCGATATCGCCAGCACCATATATTGAGATTTTAGATGGTTGGAGATAGTCGGTATAAAACCTTGTCTAACCTAGGTTTCGAGGTGATTAAGGTTTGTCAGTAAGGCGTATCGGATGTAATCTTGGGAGAAATAATGATCCAAGAAGGATTCACATGTGCATAACCAAACTTGACAGTCTGGAACTTTACCACTACGAAATTAGGGTTTCACCTGACCTTACGTAGGACCGACTATGTATAGATATATATCTTCAATAAATAACAAAGCTAGAAAAAATAAATACTTACCACAACTAAATTGACTAAAGATAATGCATTCAAAGTGATAGACCATAGAACCATAACAGCTGATACACTAATCACGATATATACAACACCAAAAATGACCATCAATGTAGCAACTATATCGAATCCAAAAAATACCAATGTAACAACGAATATAGCAAGTAAACAAATATCAAGTTGGAAAGCTGCTTCATTACCCAATGTTAAATATTGTTCATAGAACACGTAGAATACGCTAAAATAATACACAAAAAAATAGAAGTAACAATGTATGAACATAATAATATCAAATTTGATTCTAGAAAGAAACTTTAGCTAACTCAAAATTGATTGATTTCTAAATCATGTTTTCTTTCTTGATTAATTAAACACTTGTCGTGGATGCGCACTGCTGAAGAGTCCCACAGTACGACGAAACGGCCGTCCAGTGCCTCCAGGTTTTCAAGGGTGGTCTAACATCAATCGGTTCATGATCTCAATCAAAAATTAAACATTGGATCTGGAATAGTTACAGACGACAACTTTTGGGTATTTCGAGACATTCAGTGTTCTTTGCTTACCACATGGTCATTCCTTGTTGATGGTTAATCTATGACAAAATTTAACTAAATGTAAATTTTTTACCAAGCAGAGTTATATTCAATCTGTCGGCTAGTGAGTTTTTATTACTTTTATATCTGTGTGGTATAAATTTATGGATTAGTTTCGTGAGGATAGCCACTCGAAACAAATACAGTGTATTGAATAGGCATATACATTTGGATTTTGTATAGTATTTTTAATTTTTAAAAAGCTATAGTACAAAAACCAGTTAACCAATTGGTTATACAGTCAAGAGAAGAGAACAAATTATGGCAGAGCTGATTGAAAATCTAGGTATAGCGATTAACCTTTCAAGTTATACTAAGAGATTTCTGAATGTAATAGTAGCGCAATATCACTGAAGCTGACTGTAGCTAATTGGATAGATGGATATCGACTTATTAATCGAAAAGGCCATGAATGTTTGGTTTTCAAAGGTTATTTAACTGAAGTCCACTCAATTAGTGTAAACTGCTTCGAATACTATGATTAAATCTCATTCACATATTCTTGATATAATAGCAAATGTATATATTAATTATGCCCGAAAATTCCTTACATTGACACGCTACATTTGGTAGTGTAGGACTACGTTGGAAGAAAATTGTGTGTTGGGAAACTAAGATATGGTATCAGTGCATCAAGCCATCGACTGTTGTACTGGAGCTCTGTAAGTAAGACCGAACTACCTGGTTGGAGTTCATGCGATTATTGTAACTAATTATTGAAGGTGTTGAGAGAAATGGTATTTGTAAGATTACATTTGATCTTGAGATGATAGAAAGACCCTTACTGAGATGTTTATGACGAAAGAAACCGAATATATACTGGTCACTTTGTGACATTCATTCTTTGATAATATTCGATTATTAGTCCGTCGATTTACAGGTAATTCACTCATAATTGCACTATTTTGTTCGAATATATTGTAAGTAAATGGTATAATAGCCTTAACGTCCTTAGTATACACACCGTTAACATACTCTGCAGTGATTTTGGTGTTTTTAAATCCATTCGATTAAAATCTTCGGGATTACTGACTATATCTATCAGTTAGATGACTTTAGTCACTTAAATATAGATTATTATCATGATAATTTGTACTGATTTGTACTAACCTGTAAGGAAAAACAGTATTCTTGCGAATCGGTCCATTCATATAATTATCAGTTGTTTTATACCATGATCGAGTTATTTTATTGGCATAATATCTTGCCGCTTTTAACGCATTCACATAATCATCAGGTTTTTTTAAGACACCATGATAAGCCATAAAATAATTAGCTCCAACCGTTACACTGCCAGTGATGTTGTCGCGTAAAAGACGAACACCGGTAGAGTATGCAGCTTTACCACTGGAAAAACATTTAAAAATAAACTTGAAATAAATAGACAAATAGCTTATGTATAATAAGAATGATTTCAATTTTATCGAATAGTGAAGTCAGTCAGTAATTATAAGGAAATTATAAGGTCTCAGACTTTTTGCTGATTACGGTGAGGTTGATCATGCAACAGAAATTTAGGCTTTAATATAAAAAAAGAACCGAAACAAGTATACACATATAGAAGAAGTGTTTACATTAAGTCACTCAGGAGGGTAATCAGTGTCCTGGATAGCCAAACTAAGATTATATACTTAACTCTACCGATCGTAAAGTACAGTGAGTTCAATGTTCAATAGCTTTGTAGAATTGATCTATGCTAATACTTTGCTAACAGTAGCACTACTTACACAAAGGATTGAATACATGTTTCATAGACAATACAAAGAAAACTAGCTATTCCATTTAAAAAAGTTTTGTGCAACAAGTCTGGTTTTCAGTTATTCTAAGGTGATAGACAACTTCAGCATAGAGTGAAACCTTTGAAATTAATCTTCAGAAGGATCTTATCCTCTTTACACTACCATCTGTTTATAGTAAAACGCTTGCTTTTTCTCTATTTCAATTATTATAAAGGTGTCAGGCTTTTCAATGTCATATGGTTTACCATATCTACATGACCTCTTTGAATTTAAGTAATGGAAAAATATGTATCAGGCTAATTGTGAAAAGTAGGGAAACTAATCACACGTATTGATCTATGTGCAGGCTAGAAACCCAGTCATTAATTTATAAGCAAAGATGGATAGTGGCTAGCAGTGGAATCTAGAACGCGTGTTTCATCCTATTTGGGACTCGTCAGCCGGATGTACCTGCATCTCAGAGTTGATGTTCGCTCTGGGACTCAAACCCAGTACTATTCGCTTCAAAAGCCATCGCGTTATCTATTCAGCTACTGAGCTCTGATAGTCACTCGCTTGTGCAATCGGGTGAATTTAAATTCACTTAGTATTGTTTTGCTAGCCACTATCCACCTTTGCTTATAAAGCTTGTGAATTAAGGCAATATCGAGGCGATACGCACAGTATGCACATATGCCAATAACAGATTGATCAATTGCAGTTTTAAACTCCAATGGGAAGATTCAAGCAAAACAATACTAAGTGAATCAGTCATTAATTATTCATAAATGTTCAGGTACTCAGTTCGTGAATTTAATAGACATTATCATGTACTCATCATGAACATCAACTGAGGTTGATAAGTGTTTAAGAATATTAATACCATTCGTAAGTCACAAATTTAGTTATATCCATAACTAACAATTTTAGGTAGTACTTTAAGGTATTGATTGAACCGATTATGTTCAACTTATCACACATAAAAAACCCACAAATAACTTACCCTTTAGGACAATTGGATCCAGGATTTCCGATAGAAAATATGGTAAATACTGACTGAAATCTAAAGCATTCGGTCGTCCATCATCTAAATAAACCGGACATGGTATACAATTGTTATCAACTAAGTCAGGTGGACAAAATTTATGCGTATTTCGATTAATTCGACAACATAATGATGAACCACTTGGATCAATCCAATCGAAATAGTCATCAATCCAAGAACTGGCTGGAGATACTATCCATGAACTGTAGTAAAGCAAAAACTTGTTTAGCTAAATAGAATAATTACAAACTTCAGAGTCACATAATAAATGATTATTAATTTTGCATCAAATAATTGCGTAAGGATTGATGAGAAACCTCGATGCCAGAATGAAACAGTGATTCAGTTCTTCCTGGTTTCAAGTGGCACTTCAAGTGATGTCACGAATATCACCTACAAATTCTGACAGGGAGTTTCAACTATTACTGTTATAAATGGAACAGCTTGGGAAAGATGTGTGCTGGCCCGAGATGAAGTGTAAACAATGTATAGGCTTAAGTTCTTAAGGAACCTACTTTCTCAGTTTTCGTTTTTTCTCTCTAATAGCCAGGCTCGTGTACTGCAATAACAAATAATATTAAGTGAAAAGAAAAGAAGTGATCGAGATTTCTGACACGTATTATCCATACTAACAAATTCTACGCTAATAACAGTATGAAATTAGAAAAATAGTGTAGTCACCAACTGTAATTCAATATAGGTTATTTAATAAGTACTAGGGTTTGTGTACAGTGATGTTTTGAGTCAGTTAGTAATACATGCACTACTTAACTTGTCTTGACCAAACTAGATAAAACATCGTTTCAAGTTGTAAGGTGACAAGATTTATGGATAAGACATAAAATGATTACCTAGTGGGTGTTAGGGTTTGAAATCTCTCTCTATATATATATCTGCTTTGGGTAATCGGAGCAACCTATTATAGTTTACTTTGAATGGTATTCAAAACCGCCCGTCATAGTAGTGCATGAATGAAGATATTTTGAGCATAGTTTAAAAAAAACGCAGTATAATAAGTATTTTGCATTTGTCCTACCATTCTTAACTTATTTACGAAATTACGATTGATTCATTATAACAAAAACAAAACAGACTTTTGAAAGAATGAAACACTGACTGAATCAGTCATAGAGTTTCATATTTACATACTGTTATATAGAAAAAAGTACACTACTGTCTAATTGCAATGTAAACAATGAATAGATTTGCATATATAATTAAAAAAATCAAACGATTTCGCTACAGTAAATAAGGCTATATACCATATAAATTTTAAAAAAAGTCTATAAATGGTTAATGTTGAATAGCTGGAAAGTGTTTCGATGTTTACTGCCAGCTTTTCACAGTCGTCACGCTTCTATATCGAAGTTATCCAGTACAAATATATTAGCTGGAGCACACATTACTTTAGGTCCTACTTTGAGAAAAAGATCAGATAGTGCTAAGAAGAAAAGCGGAAAATTCAAAAATTATGAGCGGATCATAAACACGAAACTATTTTGAGATGTGACAACAGTATGGTGTTTTTCGCCAAGAAAACTAACATCTTCATAAATGCTGTATTCTCAAAAACGAAGATTATAAAAAGTCAACCCAGAAAAAGGAACACGTCACCTTGCCACACGGATTTGAGTCACTGGTGGTACGTCAAAAAGAAATATCCTTCCATGGTGTTAGTAACCTGGAAATGATAACTGCCAATATATTTGTTAACAGCATTCAAGGCCTCGTTAAAAATCAATTTCCTACTTCTGTAGCAGCACTTAAGTACAAAAAGGGATAATCACTAGAGTAAATGATGGTAAAATTTACCTGATATTCCAAAAGAATATTCACAAACTGAAGCGAAATCGATGCTTAATTGAAAACTAAATATTTCTAGGACAGAACGTACACCATATCGACTAATTAAACACTATTCTTGTAGGTTTGAGTCTTAATAACAATTAAATATCTAAATAGTTGAAATCATGAGTCAATTGAAGCTAGACCATCATAACAAACCTGAAAGCACTGGACGGTCATTTCGTCCTAATATTGGACTCCTCAGCAGTGTGCATCGAAGATCCCGCGAGATTCGAACCCAGGATGCCGGCTCAGTGGTCTAATAGTTAAGCGCTCGCGTGCGAGACTCGTAGGTTCTGGGTTCGGATGTCGCCAGGAGCGGGATCGTGAATGCGCACAGCTGAGGAGTCCCATACTAGGACGAAACGGCCGTCCAGTGCTTCCAGGTTTTCCATGGTGGTCTAGCTTCAATTGACTCATGATTTCAACTATTGAAATTTCTAAAAAATCTCCACAAAACCCCTTCTAATTAAATATTTACCAACTTCATTATTTAATACCATTACATATCTAGAGAATATCTGTGATTCTGAATTGATCATATAGAAGACAGAATTCATAAATAATAAAGTTGAGCTATGAATTATAAAGGATAAAAGATTTAACTTATAAAGAAAATCCTAGGTACTGGTACCGTATTATTCGTTACTCATAATAAAGATGATCATTTCCAAACTATCAGAATTATATTATCATACTGGTCTCTTGTTTTGTCAACTTACCGATTAGGATAGAGAGCTGCAGAAACTAATCTTTTCTAACAATGATGTATTGTAACAACCTGTTCCACCACATACTTGATTTTGTCCATCTAATGTAGTGAAATTATGTCCTTCAGTAATAACAAAATAAACTGGTGGTCCAACTCGTAAATCATTATTTAATGCATTGAAATAATCCAACATGTATGAATCAGTAGGCATAGATAATTTTTGATCAAGAATTAAATGTAATCCATTTGGTAGAATTGATGCAGCAAAGCATATCCATGCTAAACTTATAATAATAATACATGGTCTAGCCCAACCTGATAAAATAACTGGGCTAAGATAATTAGCTACAGCATAATGTAACCATGAATGTGATACTGTATACAAATAAACAGAAAAGGGAGAGACTTTTTAAGATGACAGCGAAATAATTGTTCAAAGATCAATTTCTATTCTTTTCACAAGAACGAAGATAAATAAACAACAAAAGTATAACGTATCAGGCAATAGGATTATAACATTTCTAATTTTTGACAGCAGATGTAAGAGAGGGCAATCAACAAAAGGAATCCATATTTCTTATGAGAAGTTATAAAGCATTTGAATAATACATATACATAGACTTTAATCATTCAATTGCATTTTCTGGTGTATTATGCAATTTGAACTTTCTTCTCGTCTGATATCCAAGTGTTCTGCCGATAACGTGCTTAAGCTGTACTGATTTTGTTTTATCCATCTAACGACTGTTACAATTTTAACGCCACGTTCCGCTACATACTACTTACAAGCAATCTTATGAGTAACGTCCAGTACACGGCTACTGATCATTTATATTGTTCGGAAATATGGTTGATGAATATTTAATCAAAGCCCGTAAGTATACACGTTTAATAGACATAATTAATTAATTAGTTAACACCAGTAACCTATGGCGTCATTGAAAAAGAAACAATCATTCTTTCATGGTTCCAACACTTAATTTTCATAAACGGTAATTTGATTTCATTACATCCTTATAACTTTTTATATCTCTTTAATTTTCACTATTCGTTATGATCATTTCCATGGTTTTAATTTATTCCTCACATCCTTCTCAAACTTGTCAAGTGGACAGTTAATTTCATCTTTATTATCTCTGTTCAAATTCTCGATTGTTAAACAACTTTCCTTGATACATGATATGACTATTATATTTGTCAGTATAGGGTTGTGGAGATTGTTGAGTTTAGATTAATATCATGAATGGAGCAATGTTAGACTAGCATTGAAAACGTGGGAACACTGGACCAACGTTTAGTTCCAGTATGGGACTCCTCAGTAGTGCACATCTACGATCCCGAACGCGTGACTTGAATTAAATTAATTACAAATAAAATTGTACAGCCTGTGCAAATGGTAGTGTCGAAAAGAAAGTTTTCTTTGATGGATCGCATTTCAATTAATTAAAGAAAACAAAGAAATTCTCAACGATCAATGCATATTTTGAAAAATGTTGAACAGCCAGCTGAATAGTAAAACGACAGTCAATTGATTTTCCTAATTGTCTTCTGTCACATTTGATAAAAATGAGAGGTAGCAAATAGTACACAGAACACAGATTCAATAATAAAAAGACAAATATCAAGGGAGAAGAAGTCAGTGCAAATAATATTTACGAATGAGTATGAGTATGGTACAGATTATTGAATATTCACATGTAATGTACTGAAACCTTGTTTATTTTTTCTTTACTATAATTAAGTACACAATGTATTGAATAAAGTAAGAATTATACGTGTAACACGAAACGAATTCAAACAACAATTGGAAATAATCTATACATAAACATTGAAAACCAAACATTAAGTCATGAATTTGGTTATTTATAATGAGCCCGTTCTTATGCTGTGAATGTATGAAACGAATCATTCGCAATGGTTAACATGGAATTCATATCAAATTGGGAGATTGAATAGAAAAATCAAAACTACTCCATTTAACGTAATCATAAACAACAGTGAACAAGTAGAGATTGTAGTATTTACACAGTTGAATTCATGTGTCGGGTGTGAGAAAGTTTATCCACCACATACAATGAATGAAGGTTTACGCAAGATCACGGATTGATCAGAGTTAGACATTGATACCGTTGGATGTCGGCTGAGTGGTCTAGAGGTTAAACGTTCACATGCGAGACCGAAACCCTTGAGTTCGAGTTCCGCGCGTGGGATCATGGATGTGCACTGATGAGGAGTCTCATACTAGGACGAAATGGCTGATCAGTGCTTTCAGGTTTCCAATGATGGTCTAGCTGAGATCGACTCGTGAGTTTAACCGTGAAAAAAACATTGAATAAATTTCCAGAGATTTAATAATAATAGTATTGCTGTACAACTGTAACAACATTATTATATATACGTTATGATTGCAAATAATACGTTTCTGATGAGAATAAGCTGTAGTAAAAAATAGCAGGAGACAATGTTGTCCAGTGTTTTTTTTCTTCAAAAAGTCTTTTATCGTTTTAAGACACTTACTTGTCCATCTAATTATGTACACACATTTGATTGAAAATATACAGAACTTCTAGGTCTTGTATCATGTACATGGACATTTCAAAGGTGAGAGTATACTATTTTACTATATCTGACTTGATTGATTCTGACTATACACACGAGTTATACAATTTATTTTCGAATAAATCAAGCTTGATTTACATCATGAACTGATAGATTAGATAGAGAAGGTCGTAAGTGAACTTGTAGTCACAATACAAGTTGTACAGAGAACATTTGAAAAAAAAAAACACTGTTTTGATATGATGTTTAGCTTATATTCTCTCTCCCATCATCTTATTTCACAGTTTGACCAGATACTATTGAGAAAGAGACAACATGCTATATATAAATGAAAAGAAAACTAGCGAGGTTAAAACTACACGACAGGATACAGGTTCTCATTATGGTAAACACATTCACACTAAAAGCAATCACAACAATAATTGACAGTTACATTTTTTATACGTAATTACTTTCTTTTAAAAAAAAAGGTTGACACATTATAGGTGAAACATCTATTTACTCAAGATATACAAATATTGTATTCTGAGTTGTTGAAATAACTTTAAGCCATACATATTGTCAATGACTCCTCCTCCCTATCTCCGATGTATCAAGCCACAATTACTCAACTTAACAGGTTAAAGGGTTCCAAATATTCAATCTCTATAACATCTATTTAAGTGTTCCTAATTTGAATAAGATGGATGTGTGACGTTGATGTCAGGTAGTCAACAAGGAACCCTGGATCTAAGCTTCGTGATATTTGGCACTGGTCAGCAAAGTGTATATGTATAGAAACTAGGGAGAACTGAAGCTTTTAATCGGGTCACCTAGCTTAATAGTCTGAAAGTTTATCACGGAGCTGTGGATGACGTTCTGACAGAAATTATATTTATTTAGTCCTCTAGTGTTTATCAGATCCTATGAATCCATCTCTAGTCACCTATACTAGTGGCTACACTGCAAATTGATCAACAGAATCCGGTAAGAGCTAAAGAACCCGGTAAACACGAAACTAGTCAATACTACTCAGTGATCAATCAATTAATAGAAGTAGGAAATATAACAAGCTCACCTGATTTATATTTTTTGTTTTCTGATCGTTCATGTGGTTGATGTTCAGCTAAATCAATTTCATGTATATTATCATCATCCATAGCTGTGGAACTAAGCGATAATGAATCACTATCGGATGAAAAAACTTTTCGATTATTTTGACCAGTTGTTAAATTAGTTTTATTCACATCATTGTTACTTGTTAATGGAGAATGATGATTAGAAGTATTGAATTGTTGAGTTTCGTTTATATTATCGAATTCATGTTTTAGTTTAAAACAGAAAAGAACATCGAAACGACGAGCCTATATGAATATAGATATAAGAAGGACAAAAGTAAATTCATAAAACTGATATAGTGAACCAATTCAAAGTCATTATATTAGAAAGCCATATTTGCTTATTCAAATGCAGAAACATTGGTACAAGAGGGCACCAAATATATATACCCCACATTTCATTCGATTTGCATGAAGGCTGGAATGCTACTCGGGTGCCTAAACCGAAACAGGTGGTTCCCTCAAGGAGCCACTACTCCACGAGCAGTTGGCCTACAGTTTTAATCCACAAGCCAGTGGAGCGATGTAAGGAGATGCAGTCTCATGGTAGCCACTGGCCAACAATAGGTTCATACGTCATTTGTTCCTCTAGGATCCTGGAGCCTATGGCTTGGAATTGTGATTTTCCAAATCCCCTAGGTGGATCCCCTGTACACACCAACTCAGTGGAATCTCCGTAAATCAATTTTCCAAACAATCAAAAATCTCCTAATTATAAGTGACTTTTATTGACCAAGAAATAGTTTCGACTTCCAATGCATAGTACATATATATATATATATATATATATATATATATATATATATATATATATATATATATATATATATATATATATATATATATATATATATATATATATATGAAAGTATATCAATTTAGTCCAGTAAACTTGCTTCTCCACTCTTAGTCTTCTCACTTAATAGTGTCGTAAGGGACGACTTAACAATATGAGATAACAGTTTATTTGGGCGGAAGAGGGGACTAAGTCAATAATCGGATATTGTGAGCCTCAATAACTTGACCACCCCGAATAATTCGATAGTGTTTTCCTATTAGCAACGGATTCATTCACTTAGTAATCTAAAACCCCGTTTAGAAAATCCTATAGCATAAGAGATTTTACGTGATTATACAACATTTTCAATCAGATTAAACAGTAATGTAAAGTTGAGATAAAAAAGCTTTTCAACCAAGTCTGACTGCATTACAGTAATACAACAATGCAATGAATATTTAAAATGTCAACAGATTAAACAAATAGGTAGTAAACGTTTAAATACTTTAGCTTAAATTTAACTTACAAGGTAGAGTATTTTTAGTATTTAGATAAAACTTAAGATTCTTCAAATTGAGGTTAAATATTAACATGATTGAACAACAGACTTATTATACGATAAATAATGAATACATACATACATGATTAAACAGCTGACATTCTGAATAAGGAACAGACATAGATCCGTAGCAATCACATTGTAGAGTCTATTCATGTGTCGTACTTAGATGTTATTGATGGAGTTTGTTCTCTGAGCTGAATGGTTTAGTCATGGAGCTTTTATCGTTCTTCTGAACGACATCATCAGCACAAACTTCAAGTACTTAGTTATTAACATGATAAATCATTTCAACTTCATATTAGTTAAACTAGTAACTGGACAAAATGAAGAGTCGACAGTTTGAATAATAAACTTTCAATTGTTATATAATACAGTTTGAAAATATGCTTGCTTCATAGATTTTAATTTAGACAGTCGGATAGTACAGTACTGAAAGTGCTCTCAAACAAAAATTGAGAATTTCAAGTTAAGTGATGTAAACCCATTTTTCAAAAATGACTTGAAATTGAATTATTATTTATTATCATTATTGTTATCATTATTATTATTATTACTAGTATTATTGTTGCTAGTCGCATTAAGAAGGGTGTGGCTGATATGAGGCGATAATAATATTAGAAAATACAACACACCAGTAAAAGATCAATGATTACTGACATAATTAATAACACAGAAGCCAATCACTTTAGACGAGCTTATTATCATCGAAATAATAAGAGAGAAAAAGAGCATGAGAACGAAATTAAATTTTAAAGAAAAAGAAACACATCAATAAATCAATATAAAAGGACGTAACACTTACTACATATCTACGTCCATCTAATGTAAGCAAAGCGACGAATGCAAATATTTGTAAGAGAAAATTGAACACAATAGCCATAGCTGCATATAATGCGAACACACGAACAGCTGGCATTGTAGTTAGTGCTCCTTTACAAGAGAAAGAATAAACAAATCAGTGAAGAGATTAAGAAAAATATATTATGCATACATCACAGACTGGATTAAAACAACCACTGATGACCGAAGAGGACTAGATAGCTGCAATGTCAAAGTATGTGACTCCTCGCCAGTATGCACTCACAAATCTACCAGCTTAACCTCCGGACCACCGAACAGGGGTTCGATTAGTGGTGATGTCGTGGATAAATACTACTGAGGAGTTCCATACTAGTAAAAAGCAGACGGTTGGTGTTTCCTGATTTTCTATGGTTGCTTAAACTGTAATGTAGACCAAAATCCATTAAACCTTAAAAACCACCGACGCTAACTACAACAGTAACGAAACGAAGTAACCTATCATGTCCAACTAACGTTAGACGATGGAGATATGGTATACAGTCTCGATTACTGACCATATCAAAAGGGGAGTATGTTAGTCAGGGATTTCTACCACTTTCTAGAAAAACAGAAAAGGCGACACTTTAAACTATAAAAAACCAGGCTCCCGAAATAACCCTATCGTCAGAGCATTTCTATCAAAGAGATAGTTATAAAACGTCCCAATTTAGAAGTATAAAGCAAGTATGAAATCGACGTTCCTAATAGAAAAATTTCTAACAGAAGGGGAATCGGAGAGGGTTGAAAATACGTTTGAACGAATCCACGGACAAACCCTCTCTTTTGATTTCAATTCAATGAGGCTAATATAGAGTCAGATGTTAATCTCAATGGTTAGTTTAACAAATGAGAGATAAATAATCGAACATGCAAAGGCACTTCACTTGTCTCAAATTTCTCATCAGTTGTTATCAGAAAAAGCTCGCTTCATTTTCGTCAAATGTGCACTACTTGTTACACATATACAAGTTGTCCATTCGCAAACTAAAGAATGTGCATGCTGAATATTAGTCCGCTCTAGATTGACTTACGCTGGTAAAACATAGTTCACAAAAGAAGATACTCGCATATCGCATTCATTTGAAGTAATTGAAACTTTTCCAGCTAACACATATGCAGAGTTCACTTTAAAGAACTGTTAGCATATGGTGCAATGACAAAACCTATTCTTGTTGATCCTACAAGCTGTAATATTTTTAACTACAGTTCAAGTGACACTGATATTAAAACGTCAATACTTAGTATTAAATCTATCTTATGTTATAATACATAACAAAACATATTACTGAATTTTAAGAGTTCTATGTAGTTCAGAATGTGTAAAGTATGCAACCTAAAATTTTATTACATAAATTTAGAATACATTTATAGTGCGATTGGTGACAAATTTCCAAGCTGAAACCATTTCATTAGTGAGAAATTTACATCTCAACGAATTTATTGATCAGTGTTTTATCTTCTTGTTCTTCCTTTTTTGAACCATATCAAGAGTTTCGATAGAGATCCTTTAGTTATGGCGTTTCTTTCAGCCAAGAACCTCATAACACGTTGAACTTAGTGCTTCTTTGATCCCTTTCTAGTTGTTTTCCACAGTAATTTCCTTTACTTTTAGTAGACCGTTTAAGTCTTGGAACTTATTGTTGAGAGATATTTTGAATTCTTTAAGTTTGTCAATATCTCAAATGAAGTCCATATTGAACAACTTAAACACTTAACATAACGTAGAGTCATTTAAAACAATGATTATATTGTATCTTAATCGATAGAGCTCCATCAACATACTAGTGGTTACTACTCACAGTAACATATCCATATAAGTAAATAAATAAGAAACAAGGAACAATAACATAATACTGATTAAGAATTAACAATAAAAATTAATTTACCACAGAAGAATGCAACACTTTCTGATAAACTAGTTAATAAAATTGATGGACCAACACTTCCCATTGATTCAGCTATTCTATCTTCTACTAATTGTTTAATTGGTTCATTAAAATTATTCAATTGATCTTGATCATCATTTTCATCATAATGATTTTGTTCATTTTGAGTTAGATTTAATGTGGAACTATTTGAATGATTCTTTTGTTTATTATCATTATTATATTGATGAATATAATGTTTTAATAAGTTAATATCATTTATAGATCTATTGTGACTATGTTCAAATTCATGTACTAATATAAAAATATTATCAACACCAATTGCTAAAACTAAAAATGGTATCACTTCAACAATAATCAAAGTGATTGGTAAATTTAAATAGCTCCAAAAACCAATCGATGCTAAAACTGATGCTAGTACAATTAGAACACCAGCTAGACCAAGTGTTATACGCATATCAACCTGAAAAAAAAATAGAGTAATAATTAAAAGAAGTTTTAATTTATTTAAAGAATAGAATAAATTATGATGAACAGTAAAACTAATGTCAGATGTTTCATCCTATTCAAGTTTCGTCCGTTGGTTTTGTTAGGTTTGAAGCGGTTACGAGTTCACTTAGTATGCGAACGGACCAATAAACTACCTATTCTATTGCGTCCCATCCCCGCTAACTAGAGAAGGAAGTCGAAGTCTGAACGATGAAGTATATTCCGCAAACAGCCAGAAACACGAGCGATAACAACAGACACAAATCAAAACGTATATATACAGCACAAAATCGTTCTTGGGAAGGGTTACAAAATAGCATACTAAAAGACACAACGGACCAATAGCGTTTAAGATTGTCCCAAGTGGGAAATACGACATGAAAGTGAAAAGAGCGTTTTTTTTCTCACGAAAACAAAGAAATTCAAATGTTCAGAATAAAATTACAAAATTAGAACCTTTTCGAAATGATTTCTGGGAATCTAACGTCCCTAACAGGTTACATTTGTATCTCAGTATTGATGTTCATAGTTAAGACTCAGACTTATAATCTTTCACTTCAAACACACAAAATGTTTTTGATTGAGATCATGAATGTTATTCACATTAACATATTCATAAGGTATGTTGCTTGAATCATTATTAGTAAGGATTATGAATTGTTTAGTTGTTAATACTGAGGACTAAATTTCAATTAAACTCTTGCTAATAATCATTTAATTAATTAAATGTTAATTTTTAAAAAAAAAGTATTCAGTATACTTAATCTGAACAAATATTTATCGTAACTTTCTGAAATAAAATTTTCGATACAGTGGTAATATTGTTATGTCCCGATAAACATAATGAATGGTAACTTTTGGGATCCATTTAGGGACCAATAACATGCGTATATTTCTATTTTATAAGTATTAAGTAACTAAACGATTCATATCCCTGTCCCTCTTAATATGAGTTTTATTGTGACCTATGAACTATTATTATACGATTTATCATTCTTGAATTATGCCCTGTCTATTAATTACTACCTCCCACATTCATAGCCACATTTGGCTAATTCTTGTACAAATGTTGTTTCATATTTTATGGTACAATGTGGTCTGTCTGGTTGGTATATAAACCCAGTATGCTTGAAATAAATGATTTATATCGCAGATTCTGAGATTGTTCTTCTGGGCTTAACTGGCTGGGTTAGGCGGAAAGCAGGACCAGTCAGGACTGTAGACTGCTTGCACGTGTTTTATGCGTCATTGGTACGGTCGATAAATCACTGTTCTCTAATTGGCGGTATCATTACGTTATAGATTAACAGGGCACTGAAGCCAAATATGGTGTATGCTAATTATGTTGACAGATATAAGTAGTATGCAGCACTAATCGATAGTGTAATACCTGGTAAGAGAAGATTACATTGAAGAGAACAAGAAAGAAAACCAAGAGAAATTGTAATAACAACAAATTCATAAAAGAATCATGAACCATATAAAGGACAATTGAAAGAAGATGTACGAATAATCTATTCAATGTATGGTTTTTAAATTTAAAGAAAACATTTTGTAGTTTTTCATTAAACAATAAACTGGTTTTCCCCACCTAAGTGATTGTTTATTACAGTAAAATATCAATATTGGTGTTGGTGATAGTGAAAAATTATCGGTTGTTTTTCCCCCAGAGGTTTTTAATCGAAAGATTAACACCAAAACAAACAAAAAAATGGTAATTTCAGTCAACTTCTTAGTCATGTAACTGTTTGTTAATCTTCAACAGAAATCTGATGAATTTCATTGAATACAGCAGTGTATGGGGTTGTGGTAATTTAGTCCATATGGAATATAACACTAACTTATATTATTGATGAATAGATGGTTAGTCAATATGAATATAGTTAGTTAATTAGACAGGAACAATTTAAAGTAAACACATATTTTCTTCAAACTGTAAATATATAACTTGATATAAATCAACAGTTATAAATACTACAGAGGTGAAGTTTATAACTTTCAGTCAATTGATCTTAGATATTTAATTCGACTATATATGACGAGAGACCAAACACAACATAACTTTAGTTTAGGTGTAAACATATATTGTACCAGATGTGCTATATGTCTTTACGAGGCATTGCCATATTATGCTGAACATTTATATTTGTTATTTTATTCGAATTACTGTAAGGTGGTTTGTTTTAATCTTTTTTATTATTGAAATAGACAATTATGATTTATTTGTAGTCGTTTAACTGTGAAAATCTTTGCTATAACTATGTTACTTGTTTTCACTGGTTGAAATCATGAGTCAATTGAAGCTAGACCATCATGGAAAACCTAGAAGCACTGGACGGCCGTTTTGTCCTAGTATGAGACTCCACAGCAGTGCACATCCACGGTCCCGCCCCACGCGAGATTCGAACCCAGGAGCTATCAGCCTCGCGCCAGACGCTTAACCAACTAGACCACTGAGTCGGCATCCAACGGTCTAACTTCAACCAATTCAAGAAGTTGCGCCACCATACACCATTGTCTTCAGTGAGCTGATATCTCACAAGAGACCTGGTTGAACTCCACTGGTAACGGCTTCTCACTAGAACTCCAGAACTATCTCCTGAAGTCAGTCACTAGTGAGCAGGTGTTTGTTTTGTTTAACAGAACAAATATTTATATTTGAGTAAGCATATATACATTTTATTGATTTCTTTCCTATATCAAAACAAATGATAGTTGGATAGTGATATAGAAAATACCATTTAATTCATGTTAATAGCAACAAATTCATTGGGGCTTATAAGTATATTTAATTTCTTGATAGTAACTAGCAATGGAATTTAAGGTGAACGCATTGTTCTATCCCACTTTTTTATTTGTTTGTTAATGATCGATTATTTATTATTTATTTATTTGAACATATAAATACTGGTACAAGGGGAAACCAGATACATATGAGCCACACAAACCTCATTTGATTTGTGCGAGGGCTAGGTTACTGCCCGGGTACCTAAACTGAAGCAGGTGGTTTTCTGAGGGGGACACACTCCAGGCCTTCAACCTGAAGATCTGATCTACAAGGTAGTGGAGCAACGTAAGGAGATGCTGTCCCATGGTAACCGGTGACCAACGATTGGTTTATGCGCCATTTGTCCTCTCAGGATACTAGAGCCCATGTGCACCATTGGTTCGGAATCAGGGTTTTCCAACTCTCCTAGGTGGACTCTCTGTGTCCACCAACCTGGTCAAAGCGCCGGACGTTCGCTTTTCGTCCTCTCAGTTTTGTAAACAACACTCCCGCCACGAGAAAGCAGTGAGTAGGACTTCCCTGGCAGAGGCTATATACGCGTATTCATGTGAGAGTATTTTGACAGGGAGAGCGGACTCTCCCCGCTCCTATCGCCGTACCAGGGCATTTGGGGGTCAATGATCGATAGTACTGAGTTTTGAGTTTCACAGAAAGAATATCAACACTGGAGTGTTGATACATTCAGTTGATCAGTTATGAAAAATAAGCTGAAATGTAACTATCTTAAATTCCATTGCCAGACATTATTTTTAAAATATAATCAACTTGTACACGTGAACAGATATTAATCTAATTAAATAGTCCAGTTCTTTTAACCGAGATTCATAATAAATCTAATCCCATAATCAAAATTAACAGATAAAAAAAGCGACAACTTACAAGTATTGTTTTAAAACTTCGATATGTCCCTAGAAACAAACTGACATAGATAAACATGACAATATAGCTTATAGCTATAGTACTTATATCCGAATTTGACTGACGTTCAATTTCATCTTCTACAGAACGCTAATCGAGTGAAAAACAACAAAATAATGAAGGATGAAGAGAATTATGGGTTCTTCTAATAAAACATATATATACAATATTAGAATATTTGTAATAAGTAATTAGATATGTGTAAATGTATTGTCGATTAATATCAACAGTACGACAGCACACCAATTGTTTGAGTGTTCATAATTCTGATGTCTCAAAGTCTTTCAAGATAATTAATAAATAAAAGGCGTCGAATTTGCTCAAGTAACCGAAAGCAATTGCCACAACAAAAAAACTTAAACCAAATTTATGTATCTAAAATGATTTGAGTTATTAGTCCTTCTTTGGCGTAAGACCTCATTTATAAGTGTTTGTCACGTAATTTTTTTCTTTCCATAACACTAATTATTAATTCTCATTGTCGATCTGTTCTTTACTCAGTTTGAGAACATTCATATATTTGATACATGAGAATTCACATTGTTTAACAAATGAAAATACGTAAGGGGATTTGTGGAGATTGTACTATTTTTTGCTATTCAATTCACCAGTTGATCTAAGCTAGACCATCATTGAAAACCTGGAAGCACTGTACGGTTGATTCATCCTAAAAAGGGACACTTTGACAGTACATATTGACGAACCCGCAAGTGAGAAGCTACGATCTCCTACACAAACCATTAACCAATGCTTCTAGGTTTTCAATGATAGTCTAACATTGAGCAGTTCACAATATCGATGAAACGGAACAACTTCAAAAAACCCTATACTGATATAACTCAATTTTACAAAGTACAACAACTTATGGTGACAAAATTAGTTCATGTAATGGTTCTACAATCACGTCATATATATATCAAGTACATCTTAAGGATATATGTATGAAGCTCATTATCACTGAATTGTATTTTCCAATCGAACCATAAAATGAACACTATAAATATATATTTACAACAACAACAAAAAAAAGAATTACAAGAGTACAAAAACCATCGTCAAAACAGTTGATAGTGAATATTTTCTTCTTTTATAAATAATAATAATATCAACTTAGTTACCCTGTAAGACCACCAAATAAGCAAAGTACAAAATCAGTAGTCTTAATAAATAGAAAAAATAATAATAATTCTTTTTCCTAATCAAACATGAATAGTCTCAATTATTGTTCAGTTCATACCAAACGGACTATTATCACTTGTAGACATAGACATATGGGTAGATAGAGTGGAATTATTTATTCTATAAACAATTTCAATCATGTTATTTAAACAACCGTTCAAAGTTTAATGATAAATCATACGACTACATAGAGTTTGTCAAATTAAATATATATATTTTTAAAAGTTTATTTATAAAGCAATTTTAATAGTTGAATTCATTAAAAACCTGTAAGCATTGGACGGCTGTTTCGTCCTCATTTGTGACTCCTCAGCAGTGCACATCCACGATTCCGTGAGCGGGACTCGAGCCCAGGACCTTCGGTCTCGTATGCAAACGCTTAGCTTTAGGCCATTAAGTCGGCACCCGACCCTATTAATTTCTAACTCCAATCGATCAATGATATTGAGCAACCCCTCATTCATTGTTTGAAGTGAACAACTGTCTTACATCCGACACTGACTGGACTCCGCTGGTCACAGCTTCTTGCTAGAACACAAGGAAATTCACCTTGAAGCTGGTCGGGTGGAAAAAACTATCCATTGAAGTTAGACATTAACACGGTTGGATGTCGGCCCAGTAGTCTAGAGTTAAGCGTTCGCACATGAGACCGAAGGTCCTGGGTTCGAATCCCACGCACGGGGCGTGGATGCGCATTGCTAAGGAGTCACATACGAGAATGAAACGGACGTCCAGTGCTTCCAGGTTTTCAATGGTGGTCTAGCTTAGACCGACTCATGAATTCACTTGTGAAAATACTACAATCTCCGCAAGTCCCCATTCTGATTATAAAGCAATTTACCTCATAGATATGTTCGAAATTTGGAAATTACTTCACAATAATAATAATAAGATTAATAGGATGAGTGTAATAAAGTAATTTCAATTCGACAAACCAGTCGTAGTTTAAATAGCTCAGTGATAACATCTTATGCGCTGATTAAGCAGCTGCTTAATCAACTCATGCCTTAAAATATCACCGGAGTCACCTTGCTAAAGGTGTACAGACTAGGGAGTCTAGCGGACTTGAAACCAAATCATTCCAGACTGCTTAAAGTAGTATTCAACTCTTCGAACGAACGTGACCTAATTTTCCAGAATAGACACAAATTAAAGGGTTCAGGAGTCTTTATACGAAAGAACTTACTGTTGGCAGACCGTGTAAAAAGACGGGAAGCCGAAAAAGAACTACAACTTAGGTTGGACGCTGGCGAAAAGGACCTAAAAATTGTAAAATTTCGGATTGTAAGGCTTCGACAGAGAATGATGCCGAAGCCACTCTGGGTGAAGCACGAAGCCACTTAAATAGGCTTCGGATCTGCTACACTAATGCCCGGAGCTTAATAAGTTATCGGAACTAGGTGTACAGATTGACTCTACAAAGCCAGACATAATCGCAGTTACAGAAACCTGGCTGACACAGGCTATAGATAATATGGAACTTGATTTCGAGGGTTTTACGTTAGTAAGGGCCGACAGAATAAAAAAGCGTAAAGGAGGGGGAGTAGCTCTATTCATTAGGAATGCTATCCCATTTGCCATTATCGACAGTGTATCCCATGAGAGTGGGACGTGTGAATTAGTTAGTCTCCACTTGAAATGCAAGGGACAAGAGCTGCTGATTGTTTTGGTCTATCGCAGTCCAAGCTGTGAGGTAAATAAAGTCCTGCTGAGCAGTCTCAATACTTGGTCACAAAGTGGTCGATGTCTAATCCTAGGGGACTTAAATGAACCTACGGTAGACTAAGAAAATCTGAGAACTGAATCGTCAGAAAATTCCTTCGAGCAGGAACTAGTTGATGCGGTTATCACATGTGCTCTAGTGCAACATGTGAAAGAAGCGACTAGGTACGACCCGGACACTGAATCATCCTTACTAGATCTGATACTCACTCACTATGTGGATGACGTTGCGAACCTTCATTATATGCCACCCCTAGGTAAAAGTGATCACGCAGTTTTAATTTTCGACTTCCATATAACTGTCAGTCACGAGCATGCGTCAGCCCAATCCAGACCTAACGTCTGGAAAGCAAATATACCAGATATCATGCACTCAGCATCGTTATAGATTGGACAATAGACCCAGAGTCCTCAGTTGAAACGGCCTGGGACGCATTTCGAAATCCATACTTAAAAGTTACCACACCCCACATCCCTTGGACTATACCAAGGGGCCGAGAAACTCCCCACCATGGTTCAGTAGGGAGGTCCACATCCTTCTCCGTAAGAGAAGAAAAATGTGGGATAGATTTAGGTTACTGGGGACTGATGAAACTAAATCCCAGTATAGAAAAGTCCGGAATACCTGTGCCTCGACCCTCCGTAAGTCTAGAAAGTTGTACGAAGAAAAGATTGTTAAGGAATCCATAGAATGTCCTAAACGCTTGTATTCTTATATAAACCAAAGGACAAAGAGAAGAGGAAATATTCCTGCTTTGTGGGGAGACAGTACTGCTTCATCATTAGTGGAGGACGACTTTGGTAAGGCTCAAGTGTTCTCAAACTACTTTAGCAATGTATACACCATAGAAGCACTCTTCCCATCAGCGCATACAGATCCCCCACACATACACTGGATAGCGTGACCATTAAAGAACTCGATGTCTTTGGTCTACTAAATAAGCTTGACATAGGTAAATCCACGGGGCCCGATGAATTACATCCTAGGCTACTGAAGGAATTATCTAACTTCGTTGCAAGCCCTTTAAGTACATGCTTTAACCTATCCGTAACGCAGGGTCGTTTACCCAAAGACTGGAAAAACGCCATAGTAAGTCCTGTCTTCAAAACAGGTACGAAACACAAACCTGAGAATTACCGCCCCGTTAGCCTAACTAGTGTGGTTGTTAAAATCTTAGAAAAGATTATTCGGAAGGAGCTGTTTAAGTATCTCGATAAAAACCGGATCCTTTCGGAGAAGCAGCACGGTTTCAGAATAGGTTACTCTTGTCTCACTAACTTATTAGTGGCTCGTGAAAGCTGGTGCGCTCTTAAGGACCAAAAGTTACCTGTAGACGTAGCCTTCATTGATTTCAGCAAAGCTTTTGACAAGGTTTCGCACAACCCGCTGTTATATAAGTTAAGAAATGTCGGGATTGGAGGCAATCTATTTATGTGGATAAAAGAATTCTTAGTTGGGCATCAACAAAGAGTACGGGTGAACTCAAAGTTATCTAGCTGGGAAACTGTGCTTAGTGGGGTGCCCCAGGGTACAGTTTTGGGGCCAATGCTATTCCTCATGTATGTAAATGACCTTCCTTGTCTCCTATCATCATCGGTCTTGCTATATGCTGACAATATCAAGATATGGAAAACGATACGATGTAAAAGTGATAGCTTAGAACTTCAAAATGACCTGAAGAAGTTATCTGAATGGTCTCAAACATGGCAGTTGCCGATAAATACTTCCAAGTGTGTTGTGATCCATATCGGTCATCAAGGTACAGATACATACACGATGAATAACACTGAGCTACCTGTCGTCCAGACATATAATGACTTAGGAGTCATCGTTAGCCAAGACTTAAAGACTACTGCACACTGCCGTGCAATAGCCGCCAAAGGTTTGAGAACGTTATGATCAATACGTAGGGCTTTTAGTCATGTCGACGCTAAGACGTTTTTGACTTTGTATACTGTGTTTGTACGTCCTAAACTTGAGTACTGCATACAAGCGGCCAGCTCCTGCTTAAAAAAAGACAGTGAGCTTCTGGAAAAGGTTCAGAGAAAGGCAACTAAGCTGATTCCCGGAATAGCGAAGCTTCCGTATGAAGCTCGACTGACCAAGCTGAACCTTTTCCCGTTGTCATATCGCAGAACTAGATGCGACTTGATTACAGTTTTCAAATTGCTTAGTGCCAAATTTGCAC